TTATGCTTGGTCTGCCCACGCGCTGTTATGTGCAGCAGTGGTAACAGCATGCTAGGCCTTTTAAAGGATCATCTTTGGTGATTTGTAATTGATACCCTGTGGCTATAAAAATCGCTTCTGTCATATCAGCTAAGTTAGCTGTTTTATGCTATGTTATTATTATACATTTCAATTGTAGCTGTCTAAAGTTGATTTTTTTCTATTTTAGTGTGCTGACCGAGCTGAGCGCGATCGACTACTCTTGCTGTTAAATAAACTTGTGCTCATCAGGGTATTTTTTCATGTGTCTTTGATGATTGTGTTCAACGAATGCACGGTGCCTTTTAACAGGGTAACGTGCATGAAATCGTTGACGCTGATGGTGTTCCAGTACTTATCGATTTAGCTTCGTTGGCACACCTTTGCCAGGGAACATCGTCGTTTTCTTTACGGGTAAGTAATTGCAAAAGTTAGCCACTAAGGCGGTATGAACCGTTAATTATGCAACCACCATTTGCATTCATCCATCATCACCAATTACACAGTAGGCCAAATTACTGACCAATATTCCTCACATTTCGGCACTGCGAATTCGATATTTGCCATGGTGCTGCGAATTATGGACGCAGTTCATGTGGCGTCTGAGTCTCACTAGCTAAAATTCGCTGTTGTGGTAAAGGGCACATCTCCCGTCAAAATCATACCTTAATGTAGGAGTCGTTTCCTGTTTTTGTACTGTTTCCAAAGCGCAGCCAATGAACAGTTCCTATGAATGATGTTGCGTCTATACTTTCGTTCCATTTTATCCCAGCAGACCAGTCGACGGTCTTTACTGCTTTCTTAAAGTTTTCTCAAACCAGTTACTTCTGGCATAAGTTTTTCTATCCGGGATAATTCTTATACTTCCATTTCTGTTTGTTCACAGATCGCCTTTACATTTTAAAACGTTATGGATGCAGTCTGTGGTCAGACTTATTGGTCTGTGGTTTTCCTGAATATCATCTTTCATTTGTTTATCTAAATCGACTACAAACTGAAGTTTAGACGAATGTGATAGATTGTGCTCCCGGAACTGTAAGAGGCCAGGCCAAAGAATGGTATTTCGGGAGTGACGTCGGCGGTTCTACTGGACCAGTCAGTTTCGTGGAAGTGAGCATGTTTTATTAACTTTTCTCATCGAATTCGCCTCTCTCAGTGTACCATTTTCGCTGTAGCTGAAGATGCTTTACGAGAATCGCGTAATTAACGGATCGACTTACTGCTGGGCGGATGGTGTCAGCGACTGGAAGCCGTTGAATGAAGTGACACAGCTTCGTTGGAGCTTGACAGCGTACGGGAATCCGATACTCAACGAAAAAGAGGTCGCTGTAGTTGTTTTGAAAACTCTTCTCAAAATGATCGAATACTTTCCAAGCAGGTGAGCTAATTTTTTCTTCTTATTGCCTTATTAAAACACCTGTGACTTCGTGTTTGTTTTAAAATGTTTTGAAGTAACTGAGGCCATGGGTTTGAATTAAAGTTTATAGCAGCATTTGAATTTAGGTACTGTTCTGTTGAAATATGAATTAAAGCTGTATAACGAATTCTTGGTATTTAAAAGAGCCCTAATGAGTGAATGAAGGGAAACGCTGGAGAATCTCAGATGCAGTTTCTCTTGTCTTTCACCGTAGTCAGTTCCACCGTGTTGTGATGGTTCAGCGAGCTACATCTTTTATAGCCAGCATCATTGAGTTTCTGCTAACAGTGAAGGCATAGAAATTTTGTAAATGGTGAGCAGCCATGCCACGGTGAATCAATAAAAAAGAAGGGAAAGGAAAGCTTGTAACCTTTAGAATGTGTTCTTCCGTACTTTTTCATGATGAGGCCGTTTTGTTACCTTTCTTTTCATTTAGTTAATCGGAATTGCGCTGATCATCATTTCCAAATCATCAACTGAGAGGCTTTATTTTTAGTGGTAAAATGGACATCAGCGACGTGACAAGCATAGCGTATGTGTAGTCTCCTGTTTAATTCCCACGAAGTGGTACTCATCAATTTCATGAGGAAAAATAGTGAGTGACTTTGACCGGCTCTCGAGCTCAGAAACTCTTGGTTCTGAGTCCACTGCCTACCACCTTGGCCATCTCAGTCTGAAGCAACGTGTACTAAATTTGTCCTTGCTCAGTGTAATTTCTTATTAAAAGAAAGGTTTCCATCCGCCGAAAACGTACCCAGCACGTTCAGAGTTGGAAGCCTATCTCTTACGCACTGTGCCAACACTCCGATTTAAGAAAAGTCAGTGGTAGTTGCGAATATGTTTGTGCTTGTTGAAATCGTTGCTTTGAGCGTATCTATTACCCGAGCGTCCCTGGTTTGTGATATCCATTACATTCTCATGTTTTACTCATCTGGTATAAACATACTGCTTCACGAAGTGACATTTCTCAGAACATAGATTTGCTAACCCTTGTTCATCTGTGTTGCATGCTTTCCCCCTGTTCGGTACCTGCAAAGTATCGGCTGCTACACGAAAATATGACGGGTTGTTGTAAAGTTGCAAATATGAAATTTTTCAGATCCTTCCAGAATCATTGCAGAAAGCATTATAAGGTCGAAAATGACTGAGTTTGTCACCAACCTAGATAAACAGTTGTTGTTGACGGTCAGTATGGATATAAACTTGTTTATTTACTGTTATTCCTATAACTGAATAATCCTGTTTGGAAATCTTGTTTTAGAGATTCAGATAACCGCGTAATACGACCCCTGTCAAGGATTCGTGTGATATTGGCTAGCGACTCTCTGCTACCTCACATCGTGCAACTTCTTTTGACATTCGATCCTGAGATTGTTGAAAACGCCATATCGCTCATTCTTGAGTTGGTAAAGGTAAACTCGTTTAAACACGGCAGTATATTTACTTGAGTATGTTGCAAAAATTGTTTATGACTTCGACAGTATGTTGGTTTGTTTTTATTTATTTCTGATTCATTTCTTATCGCCTCTAGGCAGAATTTCAGTTGCTTTCGACGTTGTTTGGTGAATACTTTTATATTGGTTTGCTCCTCTTATCGTTATATTGTTTTCTTGACCATTGTCTCCATTTATTTCTGTACTCATTCAATCAGTCGTTCGTTTTCAGTATCCGCTAGTCTTTATCGGTTATGAGGGCAGCAGAATCTTTAGATTTTTCCAGTGGTTTCGTCTTTCACCTGTCGGGTTAATTCCTACGAGTGGCACTGAGTGCTTCACATTATAAGCGAATTCTATCTGTTGTCTACCGTCTGCCCATTCTGGAATAGAGTCCGTCTTATGAGTCTGAACTCTTGCATTTAATCGGCTCTCATAACCATAGCAAATTATGGCCTTTCAATTTCTAGACGAGTAGCTATCATAGAAGGATACTGCAGTGATGCGAGGCTTTTCGATTCCCGTTGCACCGGCAGACTGTCGTTCGAAGAAACCTGATTTTTATGGCTGTATCGTAGATCGCACTGTATTCTTTCCCGATTGAACTCTGCTTGCCAGTAGCTCACATTAGCCTTTTTCTGTGGTAAGATCCGCTTTCATCAGGTTGGTCTTCATCCTGACCTTGTCACACATATCATTTACCCGATCAAGTACACATTACTGCCGAATATGGGCGTACGCGACGATCGTCCGTAAACAGTTGAGTGTTTTACTTGGTATGCTCTCCCTCTCTGAACCATTACTGCTGATTCACTTCATCAAGATTCCTAACAGAAGATATCACGCACACTCTTAGCAGTGTGACTTATTCTTTGAATGACATGCATTTCAACGTAGTTTACTTCGCTTTCTTACAAAGTAATTGCAGCTAATTTACCAAGAATACAGCATGTAATCGATGATGTCGGCATTATAAAATATAACCGCAGCTCTACGAATAATTGCACATGAGATAGTAGCGAATAGCCTAGCCTTTCAGCTGCGTAAATAAGTTAGTTTTCTTTGTCACATAATCTTTCATGCGTCAGCAGAAATGGTAGCAGACGTGCGGTAAGGGAGTGACTTGCATCCAATCTTTCTGTTTTGTATC